TTTTAGCGGAATATTTTTATCCCCATATGTTATCCTTCTATTTTAAAATCTAGGTTTCGTGTGCGGACCTCCCAAAAAAATATACAACTTTCTTGGGCGGGGAACGATTTCAGGAATCAGATAAGGCAAAAAGCTGAAACTGCAACGACATTCTCTGTGCCTGCATGAACCAAAGGTTTCAAATTGAGCTGCCGGGCACGCTTATACCGCGCATGTGGTTACATCAAAATTTGCAATTGACGCCGTGCCAACTCCAAAACTAGCTTGGAACCAGTAGCTGAAATTTCATAAGAATATTGCCGTCCATATAGAGAATCGTATACTTAAACGGAATTCTGAATAGCATTTGGATCCTGTCTCAAACGATTCGAAGATGTTTGTAGCGAATTGGCTATTTCACTTACCGAACAAGCTGCGAAGCTAAAACTTTGGAAGAATATTCCATATTCATGCGTGTTCTTAATTCAACTTGGGGATGAACTACCCCGCACGTGGACATAACAAATATTTAATTTTATCGCAAACTTAAAGACAAGTGCGTTTTGCAGACTTCGTAATCCTTTTTCGACTTCCTGTGCACGTCAAATTTGCATTTTTTCCAGTGAACGACCGTTCACCAGACAGGCTTTGAGCAAATTGATAATCACCCATGCTGGAAGTCACGTGGCCCCGTATGTAATACCTTCTTCCCAATAGTTGGGAACAACTCCTGCGTTCAGAAAAGAACCAAAATACAGACAATCTGAGCCCGCGCGTTAAAATCACAGCGTAGGCAACAATTTCTGCTGTTAATGATCTGCAAGTTTAGCGGGAAAACGCATAATCGCGCCGGCAAGCTTGGTGTGTGGCAGCCTGTAGCTCCCTCCCTATATTTATATTACTATTTCTGTGTGCATGCTTACTTTTATTACTTCTGTTAGCTTCTAACACTTTGCAGAATTATCTTCGGACCCAAGACAAATTCATCGATACCATCTGCTAGATCGGCATTCGAGTGCGGTATCAGAAATAGGCGGTCAACATGCTTGGAGCGATAATAATTTCGCATCGACCTCGGCTTCGTTATCATCATTAACGTCGTCATCGTCGCTTGGCTCTGAAAAGGCCAAGGAAAACGAAACAGACGACAAGCCCCGATCTCTTCTCGGCTCTCTGCTCGCCACAAAACGGACCTCGCCACTGGTTGTACAGAGTCGAACCGACACTCATTCCGGTCTCAACTGCACGCCGCCTAAAGATGTAAACCTGTGCTCCAGCAAATGGCGTTTTCCTTCTGATTTCTTCCAGAATTTTTTCATACTAAATTCAGAAATTTAGAAGATTTCAAAAACTATTTTTGCTAACTGTTAATTTCGTAGATTCATATAACTTAAATGTTATGAATAGTTTGTTTGCAGAGTGATTTGAAAAACTGTTTGAGTAGTTTGGCAGTAAATTTGGGTCCCGTTGCAACAGCAACACCGCTAGCAGCAGCACTTCCTTCCGGTTTAGCAACAATAAGAGCTGGAATTGGCCCCGCCACTGGATTATGCGGAAATGCAGCAAAAAGCGACAGTAGCGATAGCATGGAATCACCCAGTAGCAACAACAGCACGACAGATTCGATGCAGTCGAGGACTAGTCCTGCTGCAAAAGACTCAGCTATTGTGAAGGCACTGCATTCTAGGCCATCAAGCAAAGTAAGTAACGATTCTGGGCCTAGGCTTGGACTCATGCATCACATTTTGCTTATTCTGTGATGCGCGAAAGAGGTAAAAGAAGTGAGCAAGACAGAGGCAAGCTTGTCTTGATCGAAGTTCATTATGCGTTATGTGCTGTGTAACAGCAGTACAAAACGCATATTGTTACGGGGTTGTCTGTGTGTGTGTATCTGCAGCAACTTGTCCGCAACTTTCAACTCAGAAACCACAAAAGCTAGGAAGCTGAAAATTTAGG